TGTGATTATTGTTTCTTGCACAAATTAGGTTTATTTCAAGTCTATCTTCACTTTCTCATTTTTATTTTTATTTTGTGCACAAAAGAAATTAGTTTTCAAGTACTAATCGTTTCAATAATGCTGGTAATATTTGTTAAGAATCAGAGTAAGTAATTACGAGCAGTAGCTGTATGTATATGTATGTATATGTGTATGTGTATGTGTATGTGTATGTATGTATATCAGTGAAGCTTACCTGTTTTGTCATTTTCTGTGCAAAAAATAATTAACAATTAAGAGTGGAAATGTTAGAAAGTATGTAAAAGTACGTTTGTTTACACCAAAATTTATGATTCAAGTTCGTCAATTATTTTTTGAATGTTTTTAGTAAGTAATGCTGGATGGAGTGGAGTAGATAGTTGGAGGGAGCAGAAAAGGCATCAGAAAGGGGAAAGAATAATTATGTTTCAGTACAGCACAAGTACTGAATCTTGCTTTAACAATTCAATTAAGCATACTTATTCATTTCGACCGAATAACAGTACTCACTCATTCGTTACTTTATGTAGAAAAAATTTGAATAAAATATCTTTTATTTGAAAGCTTTAATTTTTCAAAAATATCAATTATTTAATATTCATTTTAAGAACGAAATCAGAATATGCAATACTTTTGCTACGATTTTTTCCATATTTTAAGCGAGTCGTTGCTTCTCTGAGATTACATTTTAGCAAGCTTATTTACCTCTTTTACTAGCAGCGAATATTTTGCGATTTAAGAAATTTGAAATGCATTTGGAAATGGCACCACCTTTGTCTTCTTATGAAAATCACTTCAATTTGTTAATTTTCACGCTTTTTGAGATATAATCCACGTTTTAAAACATTTTAGGAACTAAACTGATGGAACTACTAGTTATATAATCATAATTTCCTGTTAACTTCTATTATTACATTTCTTTGTGCTGAATTTTGAAGTTAGAGGAACAATAAAGAAGGCTGAACACCAAGTTTAGCAGTTTTATTCAAAGATAGTCACTCTAAAATCAAGTGAATATTTGTCCGGAAGTTAACTTTATTAGCTTTGTAAATATTATGTATTTATAGAAGGATACTGTTCAAATTAATGACTGTACAAAAATTTTAATTCCTTTAAAGTTTCTAGTAATTTAATCCTTTTACCATAAGACTAAATTACTAGAAACTTTGTAGCAATTAAAATGCAAGCAATTGAATAGTGCGGAAAAAAATCGGCAAGTGGATGGGTTATTGAGTTGCTAAATATGAATCCTTGAACGCTAATTTTTCGATTCTGTTATACTTAATGGGTAGATACAACATTTTGCCAAGCGTATCATACCATCTTTTGCTGTTGCATTCTGTATTCCATAAACCATCAACCTATCCAATACCAATTTGCATGGTCATTCCAGTTATCCGAAATTGCTATATCATTAAAGTTGCAAATGATTTTTTCTAGATGATTTTCTTTCAAAAAAATAGTCTAAACATATATAATTTGGAATTCATCTATGCTTAATACAAAAATTGTTCATTAAATTTATGGGCACTCTCGATGATATTTTTGGAATAATTATTTCAACTGAATGCAATCATCATAAAATATCAAATGAATAGAAGTGATTTACTGACATTTTATTGCAAAAATATATGGGAAACAGTATTCAGCATTATTGCTTCATGATTTTTTGCATCAGAATCATTGCACTTCAATCATTTAATCATTTGAAATGCCTCGCATACCAACTCTTTTTCATTCGGAAAAAAGAGAGATTTGCTAAAAAATGCAAATACCACTCTTACATATTTTAAAATAGCAAAAAATAACGTCATATTATTATTTTTTAATTGCAGTAATAATTTTCAATAACTTAATATGCAAATGTCTTAACATATTTTTTAAAGTATAACTTTGCATTTGAAGAAAATTTAATTATTCTGCTCACTCAACGAACAGTGACAGCTTATCATAGAAGAAGAATGGCATTTATTAATGATCAGTAGATGTGAGTAAGGAATTTTTGTGTTGACCTTTGCATCATTTTCAAATAGCCGTTGAACTTTGCACTGGATCCCTTCAGTCTTTTTGCACATTTACATCATTTTTTTGCTCTATAATTTGCAGAACTCTATAGTACTCACTATAAAATAATGAATACTTTCTTATTTACTTTTAGTTTATTTGAAATTTGTTTGTTAATTGTAAAAAGATTTATGCTTAGGTCTACTCTTGAATTGCATAGGCAAAGTTATTTACTTTTTTGCAAGAGTTTTTTTAAAAGATTACTGCAATCTATGAGTAATCTGAAAGCTGAATCCTGAAAAAATCCCACTTATTATTTGTTAGTCATCCATGTTGAATGTTTTTTGCTGAACATTACGTGCTTTCACTGTTTCAAATGCTAGAGCTCAAGCATTACGATGAATCAAGCATGTAATGCCTGATAAAATATTATATCCCAACTTTGTAAAAAGAGATACTCAGTTAAGTATCTCACACATTGCTTCAGGAAGTAATTTTATCTGCTGTTGTGATTCTTTCATCAGGCCATTTATTTCTATGACTATGCGCGTTATTAGCACCATATCGTGAAGATATTTTTTTGAATAATTTTGCTATCGATATAAGTATATAATTATTGAGTATCTCGAAAATCACTGTTTTTTGATATTTGTTAATCTATAAGGATGTGAATTGTTATAATTCTTATTTTTAAAACGTTCTATGCAAAAATAAACACGGACTTTTTGTCTAGAAAGAATTCAAACATATTTATTAATATTGAAATCTTACTGAAAATATTTTATTAATAATGAAAATGATAGTGGAAAAGTATCATCATTGTTCTTTTACACATCTTTTTGTATAATACTCAGAAACATACAATTTAGATTGGTCCTGCTTTGGCCGAACGTAAACGTCACGTTGATCTCGGTAAGGATGGTTATATACAAATTCCAATACGTGTTGATGATGTGCAACGTTGGTGGAGTGGCAACGATTTTTTGGGGCTATACGTGGAAGCATTTTATAAGACTGAAAATTTAGCGCTTCATCCGCAGCATGATTCTAAACACGTTAGTATTTTAAAGCTTTTAATATGTCATAGTTTTAAATACATATTTATTTATTACCGAATCATATTTGCTATTTTAACTGAGAAAGCTTTGAAGAATAATGATTAAAATCACTACAATTTAAATAATTGTGTTGAGAGTTCTTTTTTTCAAGTGCACAAATTCGTTAGTTCTTGTATAAAAGAATCATAGTGCTATATGAGTAAGCATCTCGTTTACAGATGATGTATTTGGAATTAACAACTATAGAGGATTGGGGTCGACGTAAGCGTAGCTATCAAGAAGTTTGTACAAAAGAAATGAACGAGCCATCATGTTGCTTGTACAGTTTGGTGGTAGATTTCGAAGCTGCTGGTTGGGATTTTGTAATTGCTCCAAAACTCTACGATGCACACATGTGTAGTGGAGAATGTCGCCTTCATGTTAGTATACTTGTTGTATTCATGAGCAAATCTTTGAATAATATCTTGAGCACTGTTTGTTTAGAAACAAAAAATCAGTGACAAAAGTTTTAGCCTGGCCGTTCAGCTCATAGCAAGATCACTTCGTCGACAAAGAAGAATGCAATAAGCGGTTGTTGTCATCCAACAGAGTATGACCCGATAACACTGGTATATATGACCCAGGAAAAAGAGCTAAAGATTCGCGAAGTTCCTGGAATGATCGCTCGGCGTTGTGCCTGTGCTTGATATTATGCAATAATACGGTGCTGAGCGGGATATTCAGCGTGTTAGCAAGTTACCGAACACGCAGAGCAATCATGGATCTCATCACTTTACATGCTCAGTCAGTCTTTGGAGATCATCAACGCGTCGTGTAACAGTTAAGAAAATAGCTCAGCCGAAGGTTTCAGTGAGTCCTGGACCTGCTTACTATTGCTATTTCATACGAATATGAATTTTAGTACTAGTAGTAGGTATTTCTTATATTGATTGTAGTTGTAAAAACAAGGATAGTTGCCTCATATTACGTTAATACATCAGCAGTCAATGCTTTAGTAAAAAATCCCAAATTATCAGACAGATATTCAAATCAAGAGTGAAGCTATTCAAAAATTCAGTAACTCGATAAAATGAACGAACCCTTACTCAAGTAGTATATTATCAAAATTAAGCTCAAGAAGTAATAATCTTGCCTCACATTCCTAACGATCTGGTTATAGGGATGTTACTGTTGTGACGTAATTTGATTTCTCACCAACAAATTTATTCACGCTGCTCTTACAATAGCAACTATCAAACGTTACTACAAACATGCGGCTGGTTGTTTGATAAAAATGAATTCTATTAAAAAAGCCTTGTGATACACAATTATCAGTATATGAGCAAGCATATTTGCCTATACGTACTCTATGCCTATACATACTGCAGTTATAATCTGTGACTGGCGCAAGTGGCATTTTAGTACTCTAATAGTATGGAAAGAGCTACCAATAACTATCAAATAACATAAAGAAACGAGAACAAGTTGAAACAATTTAACATAGACATGCTGTGATTTGCTGCTAACTACTATTATAAAAATTCCGGTCGATCTTTGCAATTTGCAAAGATTATGACATATTAGTATTCATTACGTTTCACATTTTGTAGTATATATTTGGTGGGGTCTTTCAAGGACTCCACCAAAGATAAACTGCAAATATTTATTCCTTGACATGTTTTTGATAAAAATAACCAGTAATTCCACACTCATGTAGGATGTTAGGATAATTTTAGTATTCTAAGTAAAGTGAAATACACTGAAATCATCCGAAAATCACAAACATTAATGATTACGTAAGCAAAGGCGACTAACACGAAATATTTCTTTTCTTTGGATAACACGTCGAATGATCGATTCAACAATCCAATCTGCTTGCAGCACTTCAACTTCCAAATCTTCTTCATATCTGAAAAATGATAACTAAAAACAAATCGCTGCAAATGTCAATGATTATCTGCGCAAAACCGTGCTTAATTTACTCACAAATCTAAGTTTAATTAAAAACAAAACAGCCTTAAGGTTACAAAAGTGCTGAGAACCTTTGTAATATCAATATGCAGATGAAAATTGTAGGAATCACTAATAAATTTTTCCACTAATGAAACTACCTGCGAGCAGCATCCCGAGCATCACTCTTTGGGCCAAATATAATATAACGGCGATTACATGGCAACTGCCATGTATATAATACAATAGCACCACCAGTCATTTCAATGATTTCCAAGAAAGTTTCTAAAAAACTAGACATACAATATTTCCGCCAAAATACATAACGAGCTTCGTTCGCGAAAGAAAGCTTCAAAATGGTCATTCTACATTTTTATTGGGAATAACGTTTTCTCTCTGAACCTGTTAGAATTTAAAAAACTTCGAAGTTAAACAAAGCAATAAAAATCCAAGATCTTTATAATTTTATCTGCTCAACTTATGGTGCAATACTAGTCTGCTATCACGAGATAACTTGAGATTCAAGATGATTCTCAGTACAATAATTAGATTGCACACCTCTTTTCATTTGCTTCGAATTAAAAAAAGTGCTCGGCACATAAAATGTATATCCTATGAAGAGCTCCGCAGGATTACCAGAGAGAATTTCAGTGCCGACTTTTATTACAGTACCACTCATTTTCAATGTAACTTGATAATCACTCTGCAAACAGTATGTTGAAATTTATCTCGAAAGTGCTACAGCTGCTTTCTTTACAAATAAAAGGCTGACCGTAGAAGCGATGTCATTGTCCTCAATACATCGTTCCAACCAAATATGCGACACAAGCTGACAATTATTAGCCAAAGCGTAAATTACATTCACATCCAATTTTCGGGATTCATAAACTAATTGATCTGCAGGAATTACATTCTTTTCTATCTTTAGTTTAAAATAAATTTTAATAATTTTATGTCCTAATCTAAGACAAAACAAAAATTTACTATGCTTATTTTAGAGATTACGGTGCAAAAACAGTAAGAATGAAGATTCCTTAAAATTTTATCCTTCTATAATTATATTCGCATCAGTCTAACAAATGCAAACCTACTATCTGTAAAAACAATGAGATATTTCGATCTTCTATCCATTGCTCCGCAATATACGAATGATGTAAATTTATTTAAGAAATCACGCAACAAAATCTAGAAAAAAAAACATTTTAGAAATTATTGAAATTTAACATGAACAAATATTTTTCATGCTTCATTCCTTCATCTACTGCATGGATCCTTATCAGCTTGGATATAATGCCAATATGTAACAATGCAAGATAAAACAAAAATGAACTACTTTATATACGAAGCAATTTTTGTCAACGATCACCAACATAACCACTGGCATCAATTTAAAATTTAAGGTCCCTAACTGCTTTTTTTAAAATTCCTATGATGTAAAATAAGAAATTATGTTTTTCTAACACTACAGCAAGTGTATTTTATACTGGAAACCATTAATATATATTTTCTCACTCTGAATATAACTGTCGATCCAGATGCCGTCAAAAAATTAACTGCCTTTTCATTCTGAATACTTCGTCTTGTCTTCATTGGCGAAAAATTCGGTCCTCTTGAGCTCCAATCTTTTTGACTGTTTCCCTTCGAGTGCAACACATGATAAGAATCAGACGGAGGCCTTGTTCTGCTGTATCCATGACAAACTGTAACCATTTTAAGCTTTTCTCAGTCAGTCTGGTCATGGAATAAAAGATTACTTCTAAATATAATGATAAGGCAAAAATCATAAATGATTTACTTTTTCCATCATGACATTTCTCCCCTGTTTCATTAATTGCACTGACCAATTCTTCTGTTTCCTGTAACAACATTCAAGCAAATAAAACAGCATTAATGCAAACGAAAAAAAAACACACACACAAAGATATTCACCAGGTTCAGGAAGTTAGAAATCCATGGCATACATTTGAGAAGAATTTCGATTCTCGACTCTTGATTATCATTGTTTTCTAAAAAATTTCATATTTTTTGCTTAATATAAGAACTATGATCACTGACAAAGAATAGATAACTGAGAAAATAAAACATGTGTACAGTATGTATTTCTTCTCCCTCACTGATCCATTAATTTTATCTATGAATTCAATACTAATTGTAGACAATATTGCCTCATGACTTGAGAAATATGCAGACAATAAATATATGAAATAATTTACCGAGCATACAATTCACATATGAATGCAGCTCAGCAGAAGCACTCATTGTGCAGGAACGATTATCATTATTTCTTGTTAAAATGGCATCAGTATTCACTCGTTTACTTCGAAGCCGCGGTTTAATCTTAACTGTTTGATTTTTAGCATGTTTAACTTCCTTCTGATCCTCGTTCGATGCTTTTACATTGGTTTCATTCTCTTCCAACAAATTAATATTAACATTTGAAGCATCACACTCAAGACCAGAGTAACTTTTTTTCTGCGATACTTTGGAACGGCTTTCTACACTTGTTCTTTTCAACGAATTAGAATTTTCTTCACTGATGCGTTGCTTTTTCTCCACAGGCGAAAGAGAAGGTTTCAGATGTCGTTTTGTACTCTTTGTTTTTTTCTTGCTTATCTGGGAAATGAAAGATACTTGAAACCAATGATCTGGTCAAAATTAGCACACAAAATGCCGAATATGATTGCTTATTGTCGACAAACAGTTAAAAATCCAAAATTTTTCAAGGCTGGGAAATTAATAATTTTCGAATGAAACCTGTTCACGTTTACTGCAAGGCTGTTGTCGTGATGTCGACGCCTGCATTGGTGGAACAAATGTGGGTACCTGCGTCAGTGGAACCTACAAATTTAGTAGTTTATGGAGTTAATGCTGAACATCGCTAGATTCACATTAAAATCATACAATTTTTACTATTGTCTAGCAATCTTTATTTGTCGCTTCAAACAAGATATGGATAACAAACCTAAAACAAGCAAATGATTACTTGAAAATAAAATATAATTCAAAAGATTTATTGCATTACAGGCATTTACCTGACTTTCAATAAAGCTATTTTCTTTTGCAAAATCAGTGTTTTCAATATCCTTTCTAAATGCTTTCACTAACAGCAAATAATTAGCAACTGAAGCTGACAGTGTAGGGCTGGCTGCACAACTTCTAAAATTAAAATCTTCAGTATCAAAATTGAAATTTCGAACACCTATTTTCTGCAAATAAATGTAAAATGTCCTAGCATGTAATTCTACATAACTTAAGAACAAATAAAAAAATAACTCAAAAGATAATCAGCACCTTCTGTTAAGCGCTGCCTTACAAACAGGACATTTAAGCGCCGGAATTTTCTCAAAACATTTCATCAAACAACTTCTGTAAATAAAATAAACTCATCTCAAAGAATATCAAGTTAAAATATAAAGATGAAACTAATTGAAATATAACTGAAAACTTTCATGTATAATTTGCGAAATTATAAGAGGAAAGTATCACAGTTCCACTTTAAAAATCTGAAGTGATCTGCAATCAAACGACGAGACAATGAATTCACTGTTTTAAGAAATGAAAAAAGAACAATTCACCTGCAAAAGGGATGATTACAAGTTGACATAATTGGATCTCGTAAAGTTGAAAGGCTAAAGTATTGGTATTAATTAAAGGACATTACCCAAAAAAAATAAAAAATACGGTATATTAACCAACCATCCATGAAAATTAATATGATAATTCGAACAAGGAGAGAAAAATCGTCAATATTAATTTTTTTAAAATATCTTCCCAACTGAACTTATGCATTCACCATCAGATTTTCATTGCATGATAAGAAAATGTGCTGTGGTTTACATCAACTAAATAGAATAAATCATGACTTTATATTATGAGCTTCAAATATGAGTAAAAAATCCGAATTTAAATCAACCAATAATTTCGAACTTTGATAACCAATTAGTATGGTCAAATTGGAGGATAAAATGTAGACAAAAATAACCATATGCTACATCGCAAAAGTATTTGAATGCTTTCAAATTGACGTTGGATTGATCCAAACAATTCTCTCATACGAGTTTTGGCTTCTGGTACCACTGACATTGTAAGCTGAAATAAAATTTTGCGTTGAAGGAAATCTTTCTTAACGTTTGATAAAATTCACACTTATAACATAAAGTTTACAGTGTAAATCAAAAACTTTAATGTGGTTGGCACGTCAACTGCTAGTATGAAAAATATCTCAAGCAAGCTTTAATTCAAATGTTTTATTCGATTGAACAATCAATCAATTAAAACATTTGAATTAAAGCTTGCTTGAAATAAATGATTGGTAAAGTAGTACTTCACGTACAACGTGAAATTTCCCACTACTTCCCACTAACACGACCAATAATTGAATTATTCACCAGCTAATATAGTAAAATAGCTGTGAAAAATAACACTGAGCAATCACAAACTAATGATTGCAGTCATTTCTACTAAATGCACAAAAAATATAAACAGTATTGCAATGCGTCATGCCGCGTTTTACCACTTTCAAAATTGAAATTCCGCCTAAATTTATGTAAAATGGCTATAGTGCTACTATACTACACATATCTAATGGAAGGGAGTACGTATCTATTCATTTAAATGTTGCCGCCTGCCACGATAAGAATTGATGTTAATGGCTTGGTTTTTTCGTCACTGAAAAAGCACAAATTCATAACTCGTGGAAGTACGAGATTGGCGCGATATATTGGTGAAGTGGATTTTAAATAAAGACAAAATGTAAAGTTTGATCATAAGTAATAATAAGTCAGACAGAGTATTTGACATCAGTAATCTGCAAAGATTACGCAAAAAATTTTGGTGAATTGCAAAAAGTGATCTAAAAAATATACACAAATGATTATGAAAATATTTGTGCATTTCTCTGCAGGGACTGTTTCCTTTAATGCATGTGCATATCAACCTCGCCATTTTTTTGCTGGCATCGATCTTTATCTGACCTTTAATTCTTTGGGGGATAGGATAGGTCACCATATATTTTATATTTCAGTGCTGATTGGCTGCAGAATGATCGATCGGTTTAATCTACTAATTGATAATGAGTAAAAATCTCTGAAGATCGCTCAGTCCTTCATTTGATTGATCCAAAGTGTAGCATGAATTAAGATTGCATTGCGAGACGTATGAATGCTTATTGTAGTCAGTACAGCAATTTGTGACTAAATAGGAAATGATTAATGCTTTGAATGCATTTGAAAAAATATTCTGAATTAATGTGAATTTTTTAATGTCGTTTATCACTTCTGATAATGACAGATTTGGGGGATTGATATTACTGATAGTCAATTAATTGTAAATATAATCTCTCATACAGTACATTGGAGACATTTAGTACGATGAAGTAAGTGTACAGTGTAACTGAGCGGTATGTGATGAGAATAGACAGTTCTTAAATACTGTGCTGAAAATTAAGATATGAAATTTTGAGGTAGAAAATAAATTAAGTTCCAAAAATAGTAATTAAATTAGTGAATGGATCAGAAGATCAATCAATTAGGCTTGTTGGCGTTAAGTGGGCGATTTTTTTTAATCGAAAATTACAATAAAGCTTAAAAGTGAGTAAAAATTAGGCCATCTGCTTTGTCATTTTTATTATTGTCAACGAAGTTTTCTCGCTAGCTGCAGGCAGCTGTGGAAATAAGTGTATATACAACGTATGCATAAGGAAGGGCATGTGCTCGCTTAAAATCAGTACTTAAGAGGGATGCATTCAAGAAACTTATCATTCTGCGTTTCACGAAATCAGCAAAATCTCGGTAATTTTCAGTAAAATATGTAATAATGTTGCATGTTATGGAGAGAGTTAGGATTCGAATAGTGTTGTACGTACGTGTAATGTCTTTCTATTTTTGATTTTGAATATAAGAAATGAAATAAGTTACTTACGTCATTTGCATCTAGCAAACAAAGAAAGAGCACACTGCGCATACCGAGTCTTCTAGACTCAAAATTCAATTTGCATGATTTAAGATAAGTTAAAAAAGCATTACTTCGTTTCGTGCTTTCAATCAATAACCTTAAAAATGTTAACATTTGATTGCATACTTGCATACACAGTGTGCTTTCCTTATTTCTCTTCTTGCAGCTTTCTTGTTTACTTTTACTTTCCTCTCTATCTCTGCTCCCTCTAACTTTTTTTCAGGCAATAAATATTTCTACTTTTTTTTAATTTTATCACTCTTTTAATTCATTTTTTGAGCAAAGATTTTTCTTCTTAACTTAGTAATAACAGTACTTTTTATTCATTGAATATTCTTGTAACTTTCAGCTTGCGAAAAAGACTCGTTTTGCAGTACTTTTTATGCACAATAAATGCAACTTTGATAGTTTTCAGGAGAAAAATGCATTAAAAAAGATTTATATATATCTATATATATTTTATTACTTCAAAAATCGATCTTTAAAAAGTTTTTTCTGAATCCAAAGCGTGATATCCATCTGAAAACTGCAATTCACACGTAAAATTGCTGTGCTTTCAGGTGTAATCCCTCATGTCAATCTGAATCCGATGCAATTTCAGTAAGTGTTTGTGGGATGAATCGAAGCTTTTGCAATCCTTTTCAGCTACATTCATTTGCATGCTATAAACATGCAGTTTTGTTTATATTCAAGCACTATTTTTATACTTGCATTGCTTCACTCTAATATTCAACTTTAGCACAGTGTGTATAAAGTGGACTGACGTGTAGCTAAGCGAGTAGACTGAAGCAAAGGCATTGTCGCTATTATTGATAGCAATCCAGTAATGCCCAGTGAAGGAAGAACTTATTGTGTTGTGTGTTTTTGTTGAGTCGAAGAAAGTTGTTTAAAATATTTTGTAACTTTCAAAAAGTTTTTTCATATAAAAAGTAAAAAGTATAAGTGATGGTACTTTCTGGCATGGCAAGAAGTAACCTTTAAATGCTAAGGTCGGTTTTTATTTTTCGCAGTTCAATCAAGTACTTACTTGCTGGTTTCATTTCTTTGATTGATGTTTAGTCAAATTAAATTTGTTAATTAGTGTTTAGATTACATAATGACGTTAATAGGAACTGATATTAAACTGCCAACTAATTATGTCTTTTATTTCTACAAGAATGAAAGAAAACCTGTTCTTCCACTTCTGTGCTGCCAAATTCACTTCTTGAATCGTTAAAAAGTCAAGAATAAAAAAGTTAATGCTTATAATGGATTTGTTTATATTTTAATTTTTCCATTTTAGGCAGAAAGATTACCAAGTTATTGCTGATTTAATCGTATTTCTGTAATCACATCAATATAAATTGGCTGAACTAAATCCAGACTCTCTTTTGTACTTTGAACTTACTATAAATGAATCACATTCACTTACAGATTTAATATAGATAACACTATCAATTCTAATAGTCTCTAGTATGCTATTATAATTTAATCTGACTCAGTTGTGTTATTAAAGTGTGTAAGCATATTAAAACTAAGTATTAACGATTTGTTATGCTACTCTAGCGGTTGGTTACTTCGTTGAAATTTAGCAGGACAGGGCACATAAAATATACATAAACTGCAATGTTCCGCAAAAAATGCCTTATCCAATCGATTGCTAATTTTTTTCTTTTTTTTGCATGTTTTTCATTTATTGTTTATTGTCTATTTTTGACATAGCGAATGATAGTGACTGAGCAGATTTACAATACTGCTAATAGATTTTAATATCACGAAAACGGAACTTATGATAACGATACTAAAGTATTAAACTGCTTGCTTGTTATCTTTTTTATTTTTATTATCGATAATAAATGAAACTAAAATTATTAGTCACTAAACTTTAATAAGATATTTCTAAGTCTAACTTTTTGCTTTCATGCCAAAACTTTAAAAGTTTTAAATGCTATCGTAACACTTAGTCTAAATTCATTACACATTGAATTTGATAACTTTCTTAATATTCTAATTCTATTTTATACTTAAAAAGTATAACAAAAGAAGTCAGTACTAAATGCTAAGTTTGAAAGGGTTTTTAAATCATAACACACTGTCATTATAGTGGTAAATGAGACTAAAATCGGAGTGGTACTGTCATTGGCAGTTGTTTGAGTGAAAAGTTGTGCGTTTTTTTCTTCTATGAGCACTGGAATATTTGCAAAAAATATAAGAAGCGTTTGAATTTTTAGATAAAAGTTGGAGAATTAAACCAGTCAGGCAGTGATAAAGGTGGGAAGTGTTGAAAGTGATAATGCATTATCGGAAGAAAAATGATAAACAAGAAAAAGCATAGATGTGTTTGAGTGAATCCAACTGTTTGCTTACAAAAGTATCAGCGATGAAAGGCTAAAAATGCCAATGCGCTGAGTGCTTCATAGAACGTGTCATAATTAGTAGTGCCGGCCGCGTTAATAATGTCATTGCTCTTTCAACTTAATCATTGGGCTTGGCAGTTGGCAAGTGGTAAGTGAAGAGATGAATGTATGTTTATCATTGATAAAAGGCTTCATTTTCTTCTTATCAACGACCAAAGGTCATATCGCTCACCTTTTGCAACTATATATACTAATGACTATCTACTAGACACTACCCATTACCTAGTACTTGCATTTTACTCATTCATTACTACGGTGGTTTATGACAAGAAAGCAAATTTTTCACGTTATATTTTTTCTTGTTTAATGTTCCTTTATTGACAGCCAGCAGCCAGCAGCCAGTTGATAGAATGAATACTTCACATTTGCATATCAATTCAAATTAATTTGCATATGTTAAAGATTTTTGGTGCAGTCATTTATTAGAAATGATGCAAAATTTTGCGCTGAAATGGTTAAAAGTGTAAAGTTTGTGATATAATATTTGATTGTTATACAAATGAAATGAAATACGTGAACTTGCATTTTGATTAATCGGAAAGTCAATTATTATTCTTGAAATTTACATAAGAATATGAATTTATTTGCATATGTGCTCAATTAACGTACTGGTTTTATGAATTAGGACAAAAACAAGTGCTAAGTGCATGTTGGATTAAATTGAAGTTGAAATAACTTGACATGACTTTGCTCTAATTTCATGTGCATAAATCAAAAAAAAGAGTTTCCAAATGT